AAAATCCACACCGTATTTTATCTATACCATGCTATTTTTTATCAGAAAACTTTAATTTTTTTATTTGTAATATCAAATATTAGATTTTGTGAGCATATTTGTAATAACAAATAATAAGAAGGGAATGGAAACACAGAAAAGTTTCACTAAAAAAGTGGAATTTTATAAAATAACTGTAATGGATGTTAGAATTATTTAAATCGGATCTCAATAACTGATTATTGTTATTGACTTTCTAAGACTGATGGTTATTTCCCAGTTCTTTTTTTTTAAATTGCAACTTTCCCTGCATTTTAGAGTTAAAATAAAATTTTCTGATAATTTCAGGATTCCTTTGCTCTCCCTGACCCGTGTGAGCCCTGAAATAATATTGTTGTTTTAGAAAACAATAAAAAAGTGGTGGCTGAAAAGAAAAGCTGGTGAAAACTTTCGCTACAGCTAGAACTTGAATCAAAAACTTTCAATTATTGAATTTCTGAAAATAGGAATCATTTGTGGTTATAACAAATGAGTTATTACTTTTAAGAACAATCTGCTACCACTATCCAGTAAATTAATTTTTCTACAATCACTGAAAGTAATCTTTGCGCAGACAAAAATTGCTTTCGTTACGAGCCAATAGAACAAAATCACGTCGATCGTAATTAACTTACTTTTAAAAAAACTTGTTTTGAACAAAAATAAATTACATGTTATTGTGAAAATTTTGAAGCCTGAGGTAGAAATTTTGTAAGTGAATGAATTTATAAATCGCATCTTCCCACAATGCAGCAACATTTGCAAAATTCCTTTTTCTTTTTTTTAATTTACCATTTTTGTAATTGTTTCAGATACAACAACGCAAATTTGACAATGGGGAGGGGGAAACGAAACAGTTGCTAAAAATAGCTTACAATAGGTAACCCCCTTTTTGATACACCAAGTGTTCCAAAAATTACCGACTACTTGAAAAACAACAAAGGAAATGGAATACAGATTTCTGCATACTGCTTACAAAACAAACTTAATCATTCCCACCAAATTTTAAAGTTTCTTAAAAAGTTTGTAAACAGATGGCACTGCTAACTAAACTGGAAAAACTATAAAACAATGTTTTCTGTTGTGTCTCAGACAGCCCAGGGATTGCGGACTAGGAAGGAAAGGGCAGAGGGAGCCAACTCACATTTTAAGAATAAAGAGGCTTATCCCCTTATAAGATTACAATTTTTCAATATATATTTGCATCTAATTAAATATATAATTTTTGTAGAATTTTCTAAAAAATTTTATTTTATTTTTGTTTTAATTCTAAAAAAAAGAAAAAGAAAAGAAAAAATGACACGATTTCAAGATATCTTTAAACATTTCCTTGGCCAACTACCAGTTCATGACAAACAACTACCAATTCATGCCCCACAGAGGTGACCGATGGGAAAATTCTTAGTTTCAAATGTCATAATGAAAAAGATAAGGAGGAAAAAAAACAGCGAAGAGAAAAAAAGGGCAACATATCCGGGAGTGGATGCTGATCTTTCATTCGAGGTGGGTTCGAGCTCGCTTTTGCAGGTCCGAACACGCCCGAGCTCAAAATAAAGGCCTAATATTTAGTCTTAGAGCTCGACCTTTGATTTCTAAACAAGAAAATTAGTCATTAAAACTTTTTTATCACTAACTTGTAAAACAGAAAGCTAAGAGAAAAACTGTAACTCAAAGATTTCTAAAGCAAAAATTTAAAAAAAAATCGAAATCTTACGCTAAATAAAAGTTGTTTGACAATTACTGTTAGACTCACAAACAAAATCACAGAAGATCGCTGCAATTTTTTTTACCTTATACATTCTAAATTATTTATACTCGATAATTGAACCAAATGTTTGTAGAAAAGAAGTAAAACTTTTATAAAATAAAGTTTATAAAAAGTTATGCGGTCGAGCCCACCCCAAACTTTTTCTCAGTAAACGAACCTATCTCATCTCTCTCTCTCGCATATATGAATTTTAACTAATAGAATATAATTACGAGAGAGAGTTATGAAGTTTTGTTTCAGGCACTCGGGGGACCTTGACAATCATATTTTCAATAAATTGCATTAAAAAATGCACAAAAAAACAGCATTGCTATATAATTTTTTTAAAATCAATATATTATATTGAATAGAGCGTATTTGGTTTTTCTTAGTGATTGATTATCATGCAAATGTAAACACCAATGACTGAAAAACCCTTTCGCGAGGAAAACTTTAAAAAAAAAAAAAAACAAGAAGTCTAATTTTTAACGAAGTTTTACGTTACTCAACTCTGAGTGAACTTCAATTTGCAATTTGGTAAGTAATCGAAGGAACATAGCCATACGTTTTACTAGTCCAAAAGCTATTTAATCAAAAGTGTAACGAATTGTCGTTCTGTAAGCAATTTCTTTTGGTTGATTTAACAGTTTGCCTCCAAACATCTCTTTCTTTATAAACGGACTTTTTTGCAACCAGCAGATAAACGTTTAAAAAGAAAAGGGGCAAATTAAAAAAGAGATCTCACGGATAGGCAAGGCATGTTTAAAACTGGTCATGTGTTTTAAGTAAAACGATCCTATTAACCCTTATTAATAGTAACTTTTAACATAGATTTAAAGACCAGTAAATTTGAACAGAAATAATTTTAACTTTTTTTAGACCAGTAGTAAGAGAGTTAAGAGAGAGCGAGATTTTTTATGTTGTCATTTTTTTTTAAAATCAGATCTTTCAAATGTATATTTTTTATTTTCAAAATGAATTTTCAATTTAGAAGAAAAAAAAATATCAAAGATTTACAAATTTGAAGTTATAATTAGTATTATTTATTAATATTTATGTAAATACAAGCCACAGCTCTTCTCACGCGCTCCTCCCCCCGATTGCTTCCGAAAGATGATTGCAACATTCAAATTAAAAATTATTCAATTAAAAGACTCCAAAATAATTTTTGTATTAATACAGGATCATACTGAGTACCACATGTTTAATTTATGATTCTATAAGTAAAACTTTTGAACCTGATTATTTTTCATAGCTATCATGGTAATTTTCATCTGTAAAATTGTTTTTTGAAGTTCTCATTTAATTTTTAAATTAATTAAAAAAAACTTATTTAATATCTTTTGCCAAAAAGGTGAATAGTTCATTTTAGCAATAGTGTGGAAAGTTCATTCTTAATATTGTTTTAGAATTTTCAATCATTATTTTATATTTATTATTTTAATTGCAAATAGTGAGCAAACACAATTTAATTAAAAGTGAATAAAAAAGAAATATTATTTACAATAAGAAAAAGAGTGACTTAATATCTTTATTGTAAAATGCTGTATTATTACTCAAATACTTTTTAATATAANTTAAATGGATAATAAATGGTCTACTTAAGACAGGATAGTTTAATCAAGGACAACTAAATTCGAGTGTCTTCGAATACTGGCTCTAACTGCGGTATTTATAAAACAAAGATCAAGTTTCAAAGTTTATATTTTATTTAAAAACTGTGGGGTTTTCCTGGTGCTTGCTACTACTCTCCCACCACTTGATTGTCTTGTAATCATATTTATTTTTTTGACAATAAATCCTATATTTTTATAAATAAAAATTAAAAATTATTCAATTAAAAGATTCCAAAATAATTTTTGTATTAATTCAGGATCATACTGAGTACCACATGTTTAATTTATAATTCTATAAGTAAAACGTTTGAGCCTGATTATTTTTCATAGTTATCATGGTAATTTTCATCTGTAAAATTGTTTTTTGAAGTTCTCACTTAATTTTTAAACTTAAAAAAAAAAAAAAAAAAAAAAAATTTTTTGAAATCNAAAAAAAAAAAAAAAACAATGGATTTAATATTTTATGCCAAAAAAGGTGAATAGTTCATTTTAGCAATAGTGTGGAAAGTTCGTTCTTAATATTGTTTTAGAATTTTCAATCGTTATTTTATATTTATTATTTTAATTGCAAATAGTGAGCAAACACAATTTAATTAAAAGTGAATAAAAAAGAAATATTATTTACAATAAGAAAAAGAGTGACTTAATATCTTTATTGTAAAATGTTGTATTGTATAATAAATTATTACTCAATACTTTTTAATTCTATCATCAATATCAATAATTTTAATTAAACAAAATATAAAATATTGTTAAACTAGAGTTAAATAATTTGCAGGCAAACAATTTCTTTTGTTTATTTCATGCTGATGACAACCAAAAAATTCTGAAAAATATAAAAGTAAAAACTGAATCGAACCATGTGATGCACCTGTCCACTGAGAATACACCTAGCAGTCATTACTTTTGAATTTATTTTAGTTCCAAATCAAATCATGAATTCAATTCGAATCATGATTCAAAATACAACTTGAATTATGATGTTAAACTCGCAGGTTCAAATTCTTGATTGAGAATTTGATAAGTTTAGATAATTCGGACCCTGTCAATACAAATGAAACTTTCTTTCTTTTTTAAACGTCAATAAAGTTCAAATGTTTAGCTAGTACAAAATTATCTTTAAAGTAACGAAAGTATTATAAACCAAAATGCCAAACACTTACTGTGTAATATTAAAGATCTGTCCTTTAACAAAAAAGGAATTTCCTTAAATATATATATAGCACAATAAAGACAAAAAGGATAAGAAGAAAAAAGAAGAAAATTAATAAGTTTTATTGACTGCGCATAAGCTGCAAGTATATAGGACTCATAAAATAAGTTAAAAATGTAAGGAAAACATGGAAAATAATAAAGATTAGTGAAAAGAGAAGAAAAATTAGTAAAAAAAATATAAACTAAAAAACCGGAAAACAAAAAAATGAACAGATATAATCTCTTGATAAGTTCACATAATTATAAGCGCAAAAAGGAGTACACCTTTTCTTGGATATAATTTGAACATAGTATGACAAACTATGAATTTCTGTCTTCTTTTGCTTTTATTGTTTTTTCAAATCTATGCATTAAGCAATTCGGTTAAATAATTTTATGCTCTCAATTAGTACTGAGAATGTAACTTCAATAATTATTATTTAATTATTTATTTATAAAGTATATAAAATTTTACATCATGTTCATCAACATAATTTTTGAAAAAATATTCCTTTACAAAATTTTTAAATCCTTATAATACAAGGAGAAGAGGTTTAATCCTTCCACTTGTTGTTCTCATAATCATACTTAGAAGTTAGGCCATCAATTGGATCTACTCTAAGCTGAATCATTCTTTCCAACATTTTCGATTGATGCTCTGGAGTCATTGAATAAGGCAGAGGTGGGTAAACTAAACAAACAAAGAATGATTTCAATCACTAAGAACAACATAAAGCGAGTTTCGCGACATGGAATAAGTGTAGAGTCCTCCAAACTCCTTTAAATCGTTTTTTTCTTCTTCTTAAACATTAAAGAAAATACAATTAGTTTAAATGTTAAAGATAGGAAATGTCTCTTTTCCCCTTTTTTATGTAAACAAATGATTTGCTGTAAAATAAAATATTAAAATAAGAAATTGTGATTTGTAATGGAAATTAATGATAATGCGTAAACTGCTTTTTAAATGTAAGTTTTACACTGAAATGAAAATTCAGGTGAAATTTGCACAGAGAAATTGGAATGGCCATACTTAAGAGGGAAAAGAGAGGAACAATTGTCTTTGACTGATGTCACAAATACAAAGTATATCAAAATTTAATTCACTTTTTTTATTACCATAACAAAATACATAAAAAATAAAATATTTGTTTTTATATCTAAAACAGTTAATAGAAAAACAAAAAGTTTATTAATGGAGGGATTCTATTAAATGTTTATTTTTTGTTACAACGCTCTTTCTACTGTGGAATTGCCGTTTCATTCATAATGACGAGATGTCAAAAAAATTAGTCATTATAAAGGCTAGACTGAGAAATGGTAACTATGCGTAATTGCTTAGTGATAATTCATAATCGTTGATTGATCATTTAGGCCATAACATGCATACTTTAATTAATGCCTGAAAATTAAAAAAATTTAAATACATGAAGCAAACATTTGAATGCTTAGAGAAGAAAAGCAGTAACTGTAGATGCTAACAATGAAGAAGAATAAAGAATTGAGAAAAGTAAATGTACTGTAATGTAATGCAATGCATGCATATACATAATGAATCACTAATTATTAAACATTTAAGTGTGTGTGGATCTGACTGTTACCTAATAATCTTCAAACTCATTAAAAAATTTTAACATTTATCTAGATCAAGTGTCAAAATATTGCATGACATGCAAGTTTAAACTTTAAAAAAAATATAGAAAATTGGAGCAGTTTCTTTCTTGGAATGATTATGAAAAATTCAAAACTCTTACCATAAATTTTCATAAGATAATAAGCCCATAACATGAGTCCCATAAAAGCAAAAGTTCCGCCGATCATGTACTTCCAATCACCATTAGGAGCTCTTTGTTCCGAAAAAGTCAAACAAAAGCTGTGCCTGTATACTGGAGTAAAAAAGAAAAATTTAGAAAATTTTATATATGTATATATATATATATATATCAGTGTTTCCCAAAGTGGTCCATATGGACCCCCAGGGGTCCGTGGTACCATTCAGGGGGTCCCTGGACAACGTCAGGGGGTCCGTGTGAGGTTTAATATAAAATAATAAAATTGTGATTGGTTTTTATTATTATCGAAATTAAAATAAATTAAATAGTAGCGATTTTTACGTGCTAAGTAAACTACAAATAAAAGTGATTGCTTACAATTATTAACAGTGGTTTGTTACAAATTAAACAGTTGATTTACAAATTTTCTTATATCTTTTGTTTCCTTTTTAAGAGATAACAGTATGAATGAGTCGAAGAAACAACGCTGAAAATACAGTGTTGAATATTTGAAGTATGTCTTTATTTCTTCACCAGGAAATAGTACTTTACCTGTGCGTCTTCTATGTAATAAAACTATAGCAAGTGATTCAATGACACATTCCAAGCTTAACGAACAATTGATAAAAATCCATAGTGACAAAAAAGATAAAGATTTAACTATTTTTCAAACAGTCAAGGAAAAATAACTGAAAACACTGTCACTGCAACAACTTATGAGGACAACATCAAAGCGAGGTGACGATGGATTGCATGTTTCTAAATATTACATGATTGCAAAGACCGTAAAGCCTCACACTATTGAAGAACTTATTTTACTAGCTGTAAGTGAGATAATACTCACCGGGTTGCTCAAACCAGCTTTTAACATTGTAAAAAGAATTCAACGGAGTAATAATAATGTACAAAGAAGGATTGACAAAATATCTCAGTGCATAGAAAATTCTTTATGTGAGTACTTAAAAATATCTGAATTTTCTATACATATTGACGAGTCTACTTATCCAAGAAACGAAGCTTTTACTTTTAGCTTATATAAAATTTGTAAAAGAATAAAAATTTTACCAAGAATTGTTATTTGTTAAATGTTTGGAAAGCGATACGAAAGGTGAAACGTTATTGACTGAATTAAATGCTATACCCTTGACTAATATCATTTCCGTAGCTACTGACGGTGCTCCGGCAATGGGAGGAAGATACCGAGGTTTTCTGGCTAACTTAAAACAAGCTGCAGCGAATGTATTTTCAGTACATTTGCCAAACTTAACGAAACTAATTTGAAACTACAAGATGACCAATTAAATTTAATCAAAACTAAAGTCGTAAAACTGCGTTTGTTGCAAAACTTTTTCTGTATAAACAAAACTTGGGAAGAGGATATTGTTCTCTCAGTTTCAGTGCCGTAATGAACCTCATCACAAATAAATAATAATAATAAATGATTAGAAATTAGTGCTCACAAATATTGAGCCTGACATAAATACACTCTTAAAATCTCATCATGTTCATCTAAGTCATTAATTTTTCTTATTTTATTTTAAACAAAAGATAGTTCAATAAATAGTTCAACAAAATGCTTTTTTTTTATTTGTAATTTTTATACCGTATAGGTAAGCAGTTTTTCCCTTGGGGGTCCGCCCGGCAAGTATACGCAAGCAAGTTTGACTATAAAAAGAGTTCCATGGGTCAAAAAGTTTGGGAACCACTGATATATATATATTGATAAGTTCACATAAT